TGTAATTTGTATATTAAAAAATCATATAATTTATATATTAACAATCTATATGTTAAGAAAAATCAAACAAGATCACGCATGACTATATTTAGGCTTACACATTGAGAGAATTTGATGAGCCAAAGTGCTTCGATGAACAGTTCCAAAAGTCAAAAGTGGACGAATATAGCGGGACGGAAGGAGTATTTCATAACCTTTCAAAATGTTTATCATATCACGTCAAATGAAATAAAATTTTAATTTAAAAATTAATTTAAAGATTGATTTAAAAATTGAAAAAAATAAATTTACATATGTAAAATTTACATAAAAAATTATTAAAAATAGGAAGTGATAAGAATATTTTATTTTTTAAGACAAATGAGAAAAACGCATAAAAAAATAAAACTTTTTGTAATTTTTTTGAATTATAAACTGTGACATTCTTTTTTGGACGAACAAAGTATCTAAATAGGACAACCTCTTATGTGGCCTGGTTCTAATATTCACGCTCATCTTAGTTATTGATACCAAACTCTTACTGAATACAACTCCAAGTTATCAAGATTTTTCTAGTTTAATTCGATTCTCTATATTTTTTAATCAGTTTGATTCTGGTTTGATTCAGATAAATATCAGTTCAGGTAAATATCTGTTCAAGATATTGATCCATATATATATATACACACACACAACTTGATAAAATATGGAAATTGATAAATCAAATGTTAAAATTAGATAAAATAAACAACTTCCGTCTCAATTCTTGTTTTTAAAACTTTTTTGGTTTAAGTTTCTAGACACTTTAATGTTAGATAATAATAATACGGAGTAATATTTAATACTCCTACAGTCCAAAAATTATTATCGCATTTACTATTCAGAGTGTCAAATTTTATTTATTTTGTTGGCCTATTTTTGTTGCACATTTCATAAAATAATATAGTCATGTCACCTCTAGTGTTGTAAATCTTTGATGTAGCATTAAAATATATGTATGTTTTAAATCTACACTATTTTTTATATAAAATAATTAAAAATAATTTCAATCAAACATTCGTAGATTTATATTTTAGTGAGCTTTTGTGTTTGATTATTATATGTGTTTGCAATCTCTTAAACTTAAAGTTCATTCTCATTTTATGGACCTTAGTGCATTTATAATATTAAAGAAGTAGGGCTATTGCAAAAAAGAAAATATATCCACATGCAAGCTCATGAAAAATATAAAAAAAAGAATCATATTTTCTATGTAGATTTTGGGACAATTAAAACATCACTCATTATTCAAAAAGAGAACATCACACACACACACTATATATAGTGTGTGTGTGATGTTCTCCTCTTTTTGAATAATGAGTGATGTTTTAATTGTCCCAAAATCTACATATAAAATATGAATTTTTTTTACATTTTTTATAGGCTTCATGTGGATATATTTTCTTTTTTGCAATAGACCAACTTCTTTAATATTATAAATGCACTAAGGTCCATAAAATGAGAATAGACCTTAAGTTTACGAAAAAAATTTCCTTGAATAATATAGTTATTTCAATAGAATAATGTTTGAGTCGCAAACAAAATACTCAGAAAATGCACAAACTTACTATTTGTATATTTTAGTTTTTATTTTTTAATTATTTGATACCATTATTTAAATTCATTACTTTACATATTCAGCAAATGTGTGAATTTTGTAAATATTTATTTGTGACTCTAACATTATTCATTTAACATTATTCATTTCAATATTCCATAAAAAACCGATTGTATTCAATGCACCCGCCTACAAAAGCCCTTTTGAGCGAATTTTGATAAGTTGGAGTTTGAAAATCTTGATAACTTGGAGCTGTATTCAATTGTTGAAATATGGAGTTTGAAATTTGAAAACTGACTTTTGGAAATTAATAAAGTAAAATTTGCACCGAATATGACTAAAACATAAGTCATTAATAAATTAGGACATGGAAATTGATAACTTAAAAGTTAAAATTAGATAAAATTTACTACTTCTGTCCTCAATTGTTTTTTTAACTTTTTTTTGGTCAATTTTTTACACACTTTTAATACAAATCGTGAAAAAAATATTCAATGATACTGTAAATTTAGTATATTTGAATTTACTTTGAAATTTAATTTTGATTTAGTAAATTTTTACGAGATCTAATTATATATAATTATATTTGTCAAAAGGTGTAAAAAGTTAACAAAAAATCAAACATAGTACGGATAAAATATTACCCCAATGGTCCTTCTTTTATGGGTATCTTTCCACAAATAGTCCTTTTTTTGATCTTCTATCATGTTGGTGTTAATTTGAGGGCTAAAAGTGTAATTTCACAATGATAATATATCTTTTTTGTCATACACAATTCAAAGGCTGTTCCGTTTGCGTCGTTTGTGAATTACAATCGCTTTCTACTACAACCATAGTCTACAAATGTGGTCTTTCGTCAGAATCCTAGCCTACAATCATAGTCATTTTTTTTGTATTATCCGCTTAAACAAATTATACTTTTAGCCTTTAAATTAACACCAACACGACAAAAGATTAAAAAAAAGGACCATTTGTGGAAAGGTACCCTTAAAAAAAGGACTACGGGGGTAATATTTGATAATAGAGGACTAAATATAGAAACCACCCTGTTATAAAGGACCAATTATGGAATTTACTCATAATAATACTACGGGGTATATATTTTTATTATTTGAGTTTCTCCATAAATTTCATTTATCGTATAATTCTATTAGTAACTTGATAAAAAAATATTTTATTGTATCTTATTTTAAAATTTTTATTTAATTTTTAAATATGTAATTTGTATTATTTATTTGTATAGTAATTTATAGATAAAATTATTTTTTAAACTAAAATTTTATATAGTATTCGAATAATTTAAATGAATTTGGAATGGATGACTACAGTGTTAGGGTAGATGCACTGCTAGTGTAGCTAATTAGCGTTTAGGGGTAGAAACTATCAATATTTTGAGTGGAGGACCATGACTATTATTTTCATAATATGACAATAAATGTTATTATAAAAAAAGGGAGCCGATCTAAAAATTAAACCAATTATATAAAATTTACATTACAATTAAAAGCTTCAGGGTATGCTCCCTTCTTTTGACAACAAAATTCGTTGTCATATTATGACAACAATGGCTACTGTGTCCCGTTTAAAAAAATTGTTAGCTCTTACTACCCAACCCTTGACCCCATTTCAGTAGCCAATCCTGCCCCCCTCCTCCCCAAAACTCTGATTGGCTATAATAACACACTAGTCAATTGGTGTTTTGGGGGATGAGCTTCTGGGGTGGAAGCAGTGTAGGAATCATTAGTTTTTTGAATGGATCAATATAATAGTTGTTTTCATAACATGACAATAATTGTTGTTGTCTATAGAAGCACACCGTATTTTAATATAGGAAAATTTACAAAAAGTTATACTTCCATCCGTCCTCTTTGTTTCTTCTTACTTTGACTATTTTGGTCAATGTTTTAAAATTTTGATTACAAATTACAAAAAAAATTAGATTGTAATATAAATTGAATATCAATCGATTTGTTTTGAAACATAATTTTCAAATGGCATAAAGAGAAAAAGGAAACTTCTCACCCTTGATACAATTTGATAAAATATTGTTCTAATTGAATAATAAACTCTCAAGGAGTATATATAGTACATGATAGAGAATCTTAAATAAGGAATAAAATTATGGTAATACAAGAATAAGGAAACAGAATAATATTAAGATTCTTACTATTTCTCCTCCCCTCGCAAGCTGATCAAACGGATACGAGAGGTAGCTTGGAACATAAGTAATGAAACGAAGTTGGTGGAAGCAATTTTGTCACGATGTCCGCAAGCTGTTCAAAGAATGGAACATGATGACTTGTCATTGTGCCAACCACTACCTCATCTCGAACAAAGTGAAAATCAGAGCCAACATGCTTCATACGGTCACGTAAAACTAGATCCTTCATGATGCAGATAGTGGACTCATTATCACAGTAAATTCTCGGTCACGAAGGAAGAATATCAAGGGCATCCATGATATAGTGTAGCCACATTGCCTCTACCACCCCCGCAGCCATGGCATGATACTCAGCTTCAGTATATGACCGCGAGACACGAGTTTGTTTCTTTGTACACCAGAAAATAAGATTCAGCCTCAGCATAAGAAGATAGCCAGTGGTAGAGCGACGATCATCCTTGTCATTTGCGTAGTCAGACTCTGAATAGACAGCAAAATCAAGAGAACTTTTTGAAAGAGAAGACCTTGAGATTGAGTACCCTTTAAATAGATAAGAATACATTTTAGTACTAAGTAAATAGAAAAGAATACATTTTAGTACTAAGTAATCCTTCTCAGAGGAGTTATGCATGGTTGAGAGACACAATTCACTAATCTAATCTGTTATTAAAATCTAATTTACTCTCCTTAACTGGGCAAATTATATGGTACATCCAACTGTACCTTTCTTTAGGTACAACCTGGTATTTTTGTAAAATTTACAAACTTTTTATCCAATGCTCAGAACATATATGAGAACTATTATATATGACAATGAGTACCAACAGATTTGAGAAGGAGTACAAGCACTTATGAGAATTATCACATTCTTATTCAATACAAACATGAATAAACCTGAGTTTTAAATTCTCCATGTTCAGAGAGTATAAATGAGTAGGAACGAATCGAATAGAGGAAGAAGTTGATGATGGTATTGAACTTTTTAATTGTGAAAAAATTGAACACTACTTTATTTCAGAATGAAAATTTCCTTATTTGATAATGAGTATTTTTTTTTAAGAATAAATACTACGTTATTTATTATAATTATATTAGACAAATGTGTAAAAATGAGTACCTCTTTATTTTAAAAGAGTACTACCTTTGCCAGAATGAGTACTACGTATTTTGAAATGAATGTTTATATTTGTACGAGAATGAGTACTACTTTATTTCAGAATGAGTACTATCGGGATGTACCTATTTCTAAGTACTTTGGGATTACCAACTCTTAAGTGGCCTGCCCTGGTAATAGGATGCCTGGGCTAATCCTTTTTTGTGAAACCCTCCCCTGCAATTTTCTAGAGCTCTATTCTCAGCAGCTGAAAAAGGGGAAAGAGGTTGCAGTTGCAGTTTGCAAAGCATGATTCAGCTACTCTTCCCCCTGATATTCGCCGAGATGGCGCTGATCGTGATCTTCGTCTTCAAAACTCCTCTTCGGAAGCTGGTGATCTTGGGCCTGGACCGCCTCAAACGCGGCCGAGGACCTATCGTTGTTAAGACCATCGCCGGAACCATCACGGTGGTCATGCTCTCCAGTGTCTACAATGTGGTTTCGATTCGCAATCGGTGGATCGAGGATGAAGGCGGCGATATAACCCCCACCGATCAGATCCTACTGGCTCAACATCTCCTCGAAGCTTCTCTCATGGGTAATATCCTCCTCTTTTTTATTTACCTTTTTTTTCCCTCTTCCCTTTTTTGCTTTCCATTTTCGTAATGGCAAGTAATAATGGGAGATCTGAACAATCCCTTCACTTGAAGTTACAAATTTGAGTGAGATTATTATTAGGTTGTAAACTTGGAATCAGATTTCCATTTTCAAACAATTTGTTCATACTCCACCAAAAAATGCTCTTATAGTTTGAATTAAGCTTTGAATCGAGGGGCAACCCGGGCATATTAGGCTATCTGGTGCACAAAGAATCTCACCTAGTGAGCCCAAACCTTAAAGATGACCCCCGTAGAACAGAGCAGTTACTTGAGAGGATGTATGCGAGGAGGTAAATTGTGCTTTAATTTTAATTTGAGTTCTTTCGGCACTCAAACGTGTGAACCCAATGTCTTACGTCACACGGTAATACTTCAACACTTGTGCCAAAACTCGCCTTCTAATCCAGCCCTTTCATAGCTGCACAACATATGCTAGGTGTAATAATCTTCTCGTCTCTAAGGAAACTTTTTAAGAAACTCCAACTCTCTAAGGTAACTTTTATAATGAGCAGTTTGTAAGAACAGCAAGCCAGTAGAATCTCTCAAAAGTTTTATTAGTTTACGTGTAAAAATAACATCTGGTGCTTCTCGCCACAAGTTTCTTGCATTTCTGTTTCCGTGCAGCATGGACTGCACCCAAGTCTTCAAACTTGAAATGGTAATGTTCACACTTCACATGAACTTCATTTGGTTGAACTCACTCAGATTGTCAGGTTTGATAGGCTACACTATTACATCAGAGAGTATATACTTCACTCCAAAAGTATATGCATACTTCCATTTCAATAAAAAAAAACAGCGCTCTTAATTATATAAAACTTGAATGGGATGAAGAATGAGCCCATTTTGTATTACCACTCTCCCTACTATGAAATACTACTGTGCACACTTGACTTTCTGAATCAATCACTTATTCAAGCCAATGAAACTGTTTTGCTTCAGGGTTCTCTCTCTTCCTAGCTCTAATGATCGACAGGCTACACTATTACATCAGAGAGCTTCGCATGAGACGGAAGGCCATGGAAGCATTGAAAAAGGAGAGCCGAGCATTTGAGGAAGACAAGAGGGGAATTGCATCGGACGAGATCAGATCCATGGAGGAGCAGGCCAGTTCACTGCGACGAAGAATGAAGGAGCTGGAAGTGGAGCTGGAGGAGAACAGGAAAGAAGTGGTCAGCTCTGAAGCCAACTCCATTGCTTTGAAGAAGCAAGCAGACGGGTTTCATCTTGAGTACGATCGGTTGCTTGAAGAGAACCAAAATCTAAGAGAACAATTGCAGTCGCTGGACAGGAAGCTGTCGCATTCCGATGTCAAGAAGGATTCCTGAGAAATCAGGATTCTTGTTATGGTATATACTATTTTACCCTGGGATTTTCAGGAAGTTCACATTTGTGTGTATGGTCATTGCACATTTCTGTTAACTGCTTTCTGTATACAGATCCTGAAGCTCTTAACAGAATTTCTCTTTAGGAAAAATAGGTTGTAGGGATGCCGATCCAACACGAATTTGACCTTAACCAACTTGCCCTAACCATAAAATACTCAGGGATTCGACAACTTGAAACCTGAAATGGCTGTTCGCCCATAAATGACCTAAATGACCTAAACAACCCGGATACGACCAAGTCATAAAAATATATACCGAGTACTCCGTATAAAATATTAGTTCAAATGAATTTTTTAAAAAACGTGTTTGAAATGCTGTTTCTTGTGTACATGCCATCATTGCCATGGTTACCACTTACCATCGATTAATATTATCCTTCGGTCCGTGTTGGCTCGGATTTGGTGTGGTCGGCTTTAAGGTCAAGAATATCGTACCCGAATATTGAATCGGGCCAAACTTAGGTTTACTAAAATCCAAACTTGGCTCGTTCTCATCTTTACTCGAAAAAAATGTCGAATACGGAGTACATTGAGTTTATAAACACAAATCTCAATTTCAACCTTTGTCCACTGGTATCTTGACATTAGTCTGAGATTTTATTTTATTTTTTAATTGAAAGGTCAACATTATAAACTTCCCCTATTGAAGGAAAACCCATCCAAACATATTAGGCTAAGAATTTATCTCTAAAGAGTTACATAACATTGAAAGATACACACTCCGATAAATAGATCACTTTTATGTACAGAAGAACATTACAAGATCAGCTTAGGCGGCTTCCGCAAATCCAACCTGCAGATTGCCATAGTCGAACACCGTGTGATACCTCCCCATGAAAACATCTCCCAATATCCTGCACCACCACGGCCACCAAAATCGCATTATTAATAAAAACTCCCGGCGAGTGAGGGTTGTAGAAATGATGATGGAAAAGCCAGCATTATTTCTCTTACCAGAGCGGCCCGAGAGGGGGGGCGACATCCAGCGCTGTAAACCCGCTCACGCATTGTGCAGCTGGGCCCACGCCCACCTTCAGTATGTACTGTTCATTCACACGGAAAATCAATCGGCTAGGAAAAACAACAAGCCAAAGCCCATAGATCTACCCCACTATTCTAAAGTAGTGTATCTATATAGACTCAAGCTAGGGTAACCCCTACATTTTGGGGTTACCATGACCTCACGCTTTGTGGGGACACACACAAACAGTTTTGTCGGTGCCAACAGTCAATAACTGCTTGTGGGTGTCTGGGTAAAGCTTGGATCATTGTAACCCCAAAGTGTTAGGGTTATCATTGCTTTATCCATTTTATACCTCATCAGGGGAGAGAGGGAACACTTTATTGCCAATCGTGAAGGAAACACTAGGCATTGAAGAAAGCTTTCCACAGTCGATAGTCGATTCTCCCATTGGGCTCGGCAGGCGTTCACATAGCTATGTGTTTTTAGATAGTGAGACATTTATCAAAGGGGAATTTTGAGGTAGAAACATTTTGACGCATTTTACCTCATTGGCATAAGACAATATTTGGTCTCGCATATGGTTCTGAAGAAGCAGGGATTGCATCCAAAAGACAGCCATTTCACAAGTGCTGCACTCCCCATCGCATGACTTCTCTTCATTTTCACCTACTACACTCTCAATCCCCATACTGCATACAGACAAGATTGTTGGAGAA